CTGCATGAGATTACTTTCATTTAGTTTCATATGGTAGATGCACTTTGCTTTTTAAAGCTCTAGCATTATTTCAGAGTACTATTAATACATGGATTAGTCGTCTAACTACTCTAAGAAAAATTTCAGAGATTCTGAGGCAGTAGGTCGATCTGTAGGACTAAAATGAGTAAGTTCGTTGAGTATTGACTATAACGTTGTATATTGCTCTGGTAAAATGATGATTTGTGGATTACTTGCAGTTTTTAACCTAAATTTAGACAGCAACTAATCCTTATACTTTTTCTAATAAGTGCATAGTTCATACAAAATAACTCCTATGGACCAAATATCGATCTTCTCGTTATAATCCAATGTTTAATCTTATATAACTTCTGGAGCCATATAATCCTATTTTACTGCATTATTTTGAGAGGTTCCAAGCGTATCTACTCCGAAATCAGCTAGTTTTAAGACGTTTTATTCTTCAAAATATAGAATGTTTGCAGCGCTTATGTCTCTGTGGATAGTCTTGTTACTATGAATGTGCTCTAAAGCCATTAGGAGTTAAACCATGATTTTGCAAATCTGAATTTTTGTCATATTTCATTTTTCATCTAAATACAATGTTAGCTTCAAAAACTACAAAATAAAAATTCACTTACTAATATAACTTGCTATGATATTATCAAGACTAAAACTGGCAAGCTCAAAAATACTCACAAAGGAATTCTGGTCTATAAAAGAATCTAAAATTTCCACAATATGTGGATGCTTAAGCTCAAATGTCTTAATCGCTCTCATTAAAGTTAAAATTTATTGCCCTTTCTTGCTTTTAAACATTTCTGCTAGGTCAATCACTCTAACAGCAACTCATCTTTTTGGCTTATAGATTTCTTCCATTTCATAAACTGTGTAGAACGCTCCTTTTTCTATTAAACTTATTTGTCTGTATTATTTTTCAATCGATTGCTCTTTTAAATTTATTTTTTCCATGAAACTAATTTATTTATATTTTTCCCTCAATTCCACATTTTTATCTCAAGGGGTTTTGGGGTTTTGGGG